TATTCTATCAACACAGACATTTATATGGACAGTCTGGTGTAATAATAGATTTGTTTCGGGTGTTTTGTGGAGTGGGTAAGACTGTTTTTAGCGGCAGGCTAACTATGGCAATTGACATGCACCAGCCTAGCACCAGCGACCTCTGCAAATACAAGGACTGGATGGAATATTTTATAAAGTGTCTCCACACGTCTCCAACACTCTGGCTCACGAGGAAATGAGCTCCTATGTCCAAAATTCCAGACTGTCCTTTTAAATCCATTTTGTATTTTGTCTTGTTTTTTAGACAATCTAAAAACGTACATCAGGCTGTATTTGCGAAAATGCAAACTGTGTTACCATGCCAACTGCTTAACATTCCATCACAGCCACATGTGTAAAACACCCCCAGCATGCTATCACGGCAAAGTATCAATTAGGCTTTACACAGCATGAACTAAATTGACTGCAGTGATTTTGTATGCGACGGAAATCCTAGTTTAATTCCGGGTCTCAGGTTCATTTGCGTTACCATGTTTTCTGATAAATTGAATCCTGTTCGTTCAAATATAACACCTTTAACAACACAACTTAGCCCAACCAGCATGAACCAATGTGATTTAAACCCTCTGTATAAACTGTAATTGCTTTAGCTCCATAGCATTCTGTCAAGTCCTATTCTAAATATACCCGCTTACCCACCTGCTGGAAAATGAACAGCCAAATACATTATACATGACACCCATAGATTCTACTTTAATTAGTTTTGACGTGCAATAATGACTTCGCACAGGTCTAGCTTGTTTCTCTCATTCTCGTAATATGAATCGGTCACAGAATTCGCTATTAGCCGAGCATTTTATCTTTTCTTCCTCCCCTCGGTCTCTTTTTCGAACCCTAACACATCACAGCATGAATATCAGAGCCTCCTGATGTCTGCATATCAAACGCACCCAATGCCGCTCATCAAAACTGCACAACTCAAATCGCCTGCCTCAGATGTGGGTCCCTGCTCCGAATAAAAAGTGACAGAACGCTTCACTGATCACCGGCGATGTTTGATAACAGTTCACCAGGATGAAAAAAATAACAGTTTGTAGTTGTAAACTTGTAGTAAAGGTGGCTGTATGGAAATTGGTGAATCATGTGTTCAGTTGGCTGTGTGCAAAATGGTACCTATCTACTAGCAGCACTCAAACAGTTATAACGGCCATTTCTGCTCTATTCATATCTCTGTGGGGGTTTTGCCGAGTCTTGCTAAAAACTACAAATACTGACAAATCATGTGGATGTTGAGTTGTATATGGACATCACTGACAGCGTGTTAAACACTCCACCAGGGGGCAATTCAGTATTTAAAAAGGTAATTCTTTGTCATAGATAGTCACAGTATTATATAAATGAAGTGGACTAAGGGAGTGTGACATTGCCCGTAAAGTCTGACTCTATCCAAATTAAATTAAATTAAATTAAGGTTTTAAAAGAGCCAATCAAGAGTGAGGTTATTGTTAGTAGTGTTGTAGTCAAGACCGCACTAATCGAGACCAAGACCGGTTCGAGATCACAGGATCCAGAGACCAGGACAAGACCAAGACTTTTAAAGTTTGAGACCAAGACGACAGCCCATCGAGACCAACTCAAGACCATCTTTGTCATTCCCGACATTTATTTGTATTTTACAGTTATTTTGGCACATATATATCAATGTTTTTATAAACCCTATCTCCATTTTATCTGATTAATGTTCATTTAGGCTTAAAATAGGCCAAGCAAATTGCACTGCACTTAAACACTGTGCCCCTATTTTGGATCCTCACCCACAGTTTGAGAACCCATTTATTAATCCCACTTTCACTGGCACTTTACAGAAAACAACTTCAACGTGAATCAAGTGTTTTTTTTTATTATTATTATTTTTTATTTATAAATTTTACAGTTACATTCTCTTACTGGTTTTGCAAGTGATATTTAGCACCTCTGCACATTTACTGGCCATAATGAGATATGATCACTCATTGGGTGTCAGATCTTGAGTCCAACACAAGACCAACACCAAGCCCCATCAAGACCGAGACAAGACTGAGACCAAGGCCCATCAAGACCGAGACAAGACCGAGACCAGGCCCCATCAAGACCGAGACAAAACCAAAACCAAGCGCCGACAAGACCAAGACAAGACCAAGGCCAAGCGCCATCAAGACAAGACTGAGTTCAAATGTGCTCCAGTCCAAAACGAGACCAAGACTGTAAAAAAGCAGTCTTGAGGCCGGTCTCGAGACCAAGACCAGTCTCGGGCACTACGACACTAGTTGTTGGGCCCAGGGCGGGCGCTTTGCAACACTGTCAATAAAACCCATTGCTGAGTTTAGCAGGAACAACCTTGGAGAAAGAAGGTTGTTATTAATAGGCTGTTCATAGCTTGATTTCTAGACTAAATAGTGAAATAAAAACACCAGGATCATGTAGGGCAGGTTAAAATGAATATTATTAAGGTCAGCAGAGAGTGGGGCCTACAATTATTCATTAAAACATGAATTGAGCCATGGAACTGAATAAGCCTAATAAGTTTTAAAATAACACAACAAACTAAAATACTCTGCACATGAAATCAATTGGTTAGTCTTTATTATACAATTAACTTTGTTGTTTTGTTAGATTTGATGTTTTAATAAAAGTTAGCATTAGCACACAGCTTATTGGAAAACATCTCAGGATAGAGAAGAATAATGAGGAGTTAGCAGTAACATAATGGGTTTGTGTTAGACAAGAAAAAAAGTTCTATTCTACTGACAAGGCATCGTTTGATTACATAGTCCAACAGTTCGTATAAGACAAAGTAAACTTTCTGTAAAAACTGTAATGCATTTGATGTATTCTTCACATGGCTTTTCAAAACTAAAGGCAGTGTGAACAAAACAGATCAACTCTTAATGGTGGGTAGATATGTAGACTCACACTATGGTTGAAGTTCAAATAAGCAAAACATCTATGGCAGCACACCAGGGCACTGCATATAAAGCCAAGTGATTCAAGCCCGCCGCACAACAGTAAAGGAAATAATATGGGCGCACTGGAACTTTTTCTCTATAGATTTTATCACAACACAACAATTTACTCACAGTTTTGAAGTCACTTTCGTCTATTCAAATGTTGTTGCTTACTCTCCATTAAAAAGCTCATATCAGGCTATTTTCAGATCTGTGTTATAATGTTGTTTCCTCACTGAAAACAGACCCGGAGTTGTGTTTTGTTTCATTCACACACGTTTTAGCACACAAATCCTGCATATTTAGGCTGAGCTATTCTCTCAAGCAGAAAACACTCTGTTCCACTTTTTGACGTCACGTGGTAATACAGGAAGTGCTTCACTGTGTTTTTAAACTCCATACACCTTCACTAGAATCTTTTGGATGATTTCAGCCCTGGAATTGCCAATCTCTGCTGAATAAAAGGTAAGGGAGCTGTTAACTAAAGCTAAAACTACCGGTTCATGACATCACAAGGTGGAACAGAGCATTTTGAGCTTTGGAGATGTAGACAAGGTTACTCAGACATGTGAATGAAACAAAACACAACTCCAGGTATATTTTTGAGGAGGTAACAACATTCTAACATGACTTAAAGCTCACAAGAGTCCATTTTGCATTATATAGATCAGGGGGTGTCAAACTCAAATTCACAGAGGGCCAAAATTTTAAACTGGGACTAAGTCGTGGTCCAAACTATTTTTTGAAAATTCAAAAATGTTTAATTTATTGAAAAATCTCAATAACATCTACATGTTTTCTCTTCTTTCGAGATATGTAATGTTAAACCTTTTCTTATAAAAAAAAAAAGTGTTTAATTTAGTGTTGTTTTGCTTAAACATTGATTCCAGAACAAGTGAAATATAAAATATAACCAAATTTTAAATAAATGTCTCTATAGTCTACCTGTAGCCAGTGGGCAGCTCTAATACATGTTTGATCTCGCGGGCCAAATATAATTATATGGCGGGCCTAAGTTTGACATGTCTGATATAGATCCTTTAAATCTTTGTTTTCCAAAGACTGGGGCACAAGATTTTTTTGGGGCGTCACCTTGTCACGATCTAACCAGGATGGTGCCCCCTAGTGAAATTGTAGGCATCATCAATAAAATTCAAAATTCAAACATGACTGTATTTCCAATCTCGTTTCCACTTCCTGTCTGTCACTTTCAATCAGCCAATCACTGCATCCTACTTTTGCCCCAAACTTAATCACCACTTAGGATTTTCATCCCTGATATTCTCACCCACAGCCGTAGAACTATACACCTCTATGATGCAAAAAAAAATCTTGGCCAATTCAAGTATATAATGCAACAATAAGTAGATTTCTTTAATAATTTATATTATCAAGTATTACTTTAGCCTTGTTTTAGTCTTGATCTGTGTTAAGTTTTTATTTGTGCATTTTTGTTTTAATTTAACTGAACTGAAGTGGAAAGTATATTTTAATATTGCAGTAATATTGTTATTGAAAGAGAAAACAGATATCTCACTCTTTTTTCATATCACGCAGCACTAATAATTTGCCATTTATATGTTTAAATCAAGCTTCACAGTCCCGAAGCGTTAACATTTGATAAAAGACTGAAATATGAACTGCCAAACGAATACAAGAATCCCACGCATTTCTGAACACAGTCGTGGAGATCTAAACTACAGGGTTAGCAGCTTTTACACATCAAAAGACAACATTAAGACTGGATATTTTGTTGTTTGTGCAAGATATTATAGTATCAAAAACAGCAGCGTGGGTCATATGCTAAAAGCTGCCATTACATTTAAGATTCAATTAACCCTGCATACCTTTACGACTCGCAAAATCCTCAAAGTATTTTAAAACCCTATTTCAAAACTGTCCCCCACACACACTTTTCTCTTTTCTTTTTTTATCTCGTTCAAACAGCTCAAACCTAAATCCCAAACGTGGCTCCTGTTTGAAGACCCCGACCTTAGATGTGCTTTATTTCTTCTTTCTGTAATCGGCGCTTACCTGACAGAAACACTGGGGTCGTGGGTCACTCCGCAGGTCAGGACTGCTTTGGTACCTTTGATAACGCTCTGGTCCTGAGGGGGAGTGGTGATTCTAGTTCGGGCTAGGGAGACACACACACACACAAACAGAAGAAAAAATATATCTCTTTAGAACGCGAAAACTCGGAAATAAAACACGGCGGAATGCGTTTTCAAAAACTCATTCCAGACAAAATGACATGCAGCGTTTTCAGTGATGGATTCTGGTTGTTGATGACTGCACGGTGCACACAAGAGAAGCTTTTGTATTGGGAGGAATTGGCTTTATCATTGTATCTACAATCGTACAATTCCACAACAGTTCAGAAGTGGAAGAAGTGGTGCTTAAAAACTGTATTCCAGCGCAGACACGTCAAGACTAAGAGCACTTGAGCGGAACGTCTCAACACGGGAATATATAAAGGTTCATAAAGTAAAGTGAAGGCTACCTCAGCGACAATAACATTCAGAGTTATGAAGTACTGTTATTGTGATCACTGATACTACAACTATTACTCTACTACTACAACTACAGCTACTACTACTACTATAACTACTAGTACTGACATTAAACTACTACAACTACTTATAACACTCATATCCAACTGAAATTAAAATAGTAAAAGGGATCTGTTCTTATCATATTTTTTTCCAATTTCAGTGTAACTAACAATTAACATTTTACTTTTTTTTTTTAATAAAAGGTAGCTACTACTACTACTAATGCTACTACTACTACTCCTACTACTCCTATTACTACAACTACTACGAATGCTACAACTACTACTACTACTGCTACTACTAATGCTACTACTATGAATGCTACTCCTACTACTCCTACTATTACTACTAATGCTGCTACTACTAATGAATGTTACTACTGCCAATACTACTACTACTACTACTACTACTACTACTACTACTACTACTACTACTACTACTACTACTACTACTACTACTACTACTACTACTACTACTACTTACTACTACTAATGCTACTACTACTATTGCTACTACTACTACTACTACTACTAATGCTACTACTATGAATGTTACTAATACCAATACTACTACTACTACAACTGATGCTGCTACTGCTACTACTACTGCTACTACTACTACTAATGCTTCTCCTACTAATGCTACTGCTACTACTCCCACTACTACAACTACTACTAATGTTTTTACTACTAATGCTTCTATTACTACTACTAATACTACTACTCAGAATGTTACTACTAATACTACTACTACTGCTACTGCTGCTACTACTGCTATTACTACTTCTGCTACTATTACTACTACTGCTACTGCTACAAATGGTACTACTACTACTACTAACGCTACCACTACGAATGCTACAACTACTACTCCTACTACTACAAATGTTATTACACTAATACTACTAATGCTACTGCTACGATGCTACTACTACTACTACTAATGCTACTACTACAACTACTGCTACTACTATTACTGCTATTACCACTACTATTAGTACTCTTGTAACATCTTCAAAGACTATTTTAATGCCTTTACCATATCAGCTACTACAGCTAATAATAAAGCTCCTTCCTTACCTTATACATTATGATCGAACCTTTTCCTCCACCCCTTCACACCTGCCCCTTTTTTACCCCTTCCTACCCCTCTCATCTCTCACTTACCCCACACCACCAGGTCAGCAGAGGCCTCGTCGATGCCCCTGGAGTTACTGGCCATGCACGTGTAGGTCCCGGCGTCGGAGATGTGTGAGGGGGAGATGAGGAGACTGCCTGACTCCAGCAGTGTAAAGCGGGGCAGCTGCACAGATCCGCTGGCTAACACACGCTCACCTTCAGCCCAGGCGGAGAGATAAGAGAGAGGGGGTATTAATCACAGAGGACATCCGGACAGAGCAGGAGCTGTGACAGTACAGCGCGACGCATGGTGAAGCAGGCTAATCAGGTTTATTTGTGTAGAGGTATTCATAACTGGACGATGCTTGAATTATAAACATGGGAAAAGTATGGGACTGTAAGGGATGTGGAAGCAGTAACTTTGAAATGAAATGCAAGGTACTGTATGAAGCCTTAACTGTTGATGCTTTAAAGATCCTATATTACGCAAAATTGACTCTTGTGAGCTTTAAGTCATGTTAGAATGTTGTTACCTCTTCAAAAATATACCTGGAGTTGAGTTTTGTTTCATTCACAGGTTTGAGTGATCCTTTATTATTGTCTGTCTACATCTCAAACCTCAAAATGCTGCTGTTCCACCTTGTGATGTCATGAAGCTGGAGTTAACAGCTATATATTTTTTTAGTAGACATGGGCAGTTCTACTAGCCTGATTCATCAGCCGGTTTTACTTTGTGGAAACCGTCTGACCTCGCAGCATTAGGATTCATTCGCTCGACATTAGTACTTTTTTTATTTAACCAATCGCTGCTATTTGGTTGTGGCATATTTAATGCCCCAAATCCTGTAGGAAGAAGGACAATAACGTCTTTCCCCTTGATAAAATTCGCCAAACATTCTCTTTGTTCCAGTTTTAAATCCTCGATCTCGGGAATCATTGCCAACACAGAATGTATGTCTTCATCTACATCTATCTCGACCGCTTTGTTTACTGTTGTGTTGTACCACAAAAGGCGCTTGAGTTTGACGTCATGGCTTCACAGCTCTTCACTGATTGGCCAGTGCGTGGTCTACAACTTCCACGGTTCTTGCAAACCGTCTAGTGTATTTTGGTTCCTGACCTAGTCACTGGAGACTAATTAAATTGAGCGGAGGCACTAGGTGGCGCCAGTCTGGCTACAGTTCCACAGCTGAAATCATCCAAATGATTCTAGTGAAGGTGTATGGAGTTAAAAATACAGTGGAGCACTTCCTGTATTACTACATGAAATCACAAGGTGGAGCAGTTTGAGTTTTCAATTCGAGACAAGAACTAGGAAGGATCTGTGAATGAAACAAAGCACAACTCCAATCCCACAAACTGTAGTCACATTAGAAACTGCTTTGCCAGAGTTTGTATATAAAAGACACATAAAACTTTTTCTCATTCTCAGTATATGAATAGGTCAGGAATTCCCTCCCTGAGCTGCAGCGGCTGCACTAGCACTGATTCATGATGTCTGCAGGTGCTGGGGTTTAGGCAGTGACTATTCTGATCAGAGAAGCATTTTAGGTTTAAACCAGCTGTTTTTTTTTTTTTTTTTTGTCTTAGGAAGTCATAACCCAAAGGAGAGACTGTAAGGCTCATTCTGCTTTCTGATTGAATAATCATCTAGAGAATTAAAACACGAAATTACAACAAAAACAATTTGGCCATCATGTCCAATATTTTTGTAATTAAGAATAAATCAACATCACAATTATTAACAGTAAAAGCTGTAATTGGTTGGATCATGCCTCATGAGGACATTTGAAATACAAATCTTACGTACCCTATTTTTAAATATTAAGCTCAAACAGAACTACTCTGAAAATGTCTTTTTTAAAACTTATCAGGTTTTTTATGTTGTTTTCAGATTTATTATCAATTTACTAGTCCTGAGACTGTTTAATTCTAGTCTAGAGGTAGTTCATTTTAATATAACTTGTCAAGGAAAATTATTTTGCTGCATGGACAGATAATTTCATAATTTTTAAGTCTTTTTCTGATAGATTTAAGTGTTTAGATCTTAAATTTTGGCCATGTTTTTTTGCAGTGTATGTTAAGACAGTCAAAAATAAACAGCACATTTTTAGAAGAGGAAATTTTGTATTACAATATATACTATAGTGCATGGTCCTGCACTCCGATGTAGAGAATAGTAAAAAGTATCCACTAAATGTTCATAGGTTAAGTATAGATGGCTACCTAAAGTTCAGTTCTTACTGGCAAACACTTACTACACAATGTCTCTTTTGTGTGGTTTTTGAACTACAAATATCAGAGAAACTAACCTAACCTAACAGCAGATTGATCTTGATAAGTACTCTGTCTGTGTCCTAAGTGTACTTCATATTACAGATCCAGAGCAGATACCTTTCTGCCAGGTGATGGCCGGCCGGGGAGCTCCGGAGGTCTCACAGTGTAAAATGACAGACATCCCATCGATCACTGTGCTATCCGAGGGTCCGGTCGTAATATTTGGAGCAATGCCTGCAGGACACAGACAAAGTGCGGTTAGGACAGAGGAGACAGGAGCTAGGGAGTATGTGAAGTGGACTTAATAGGAGTCTGAGGAGAGATTAGTGTTTAGGTGATGTCTTTGTCACACTAATTCTTCACAGATTGACAAGGATTTCACCTCAGAGTCTTAAGTCATAGAAGTGCTGTTGTTAAAGCTGTATTACGGAACTTTTCTCTTATAAAAGATACAGTATATACATGTGAATACCAGAGCTGTGCCAAAGCGTTTGTGAGAACAAGAAACAAGAAAATTAGATACAATAGGAAAAAAATGACTTATTTCAGTTTTAAATGCATTGTGTAACTTTTCGGTGATCAGTTAACTGCGTGTCTCCATGGAGCTTTTATGACTTTGCCTGAACATTCCAGAGTATGGCATTAAAGAAAGATAAGCATTCTTTCAATTTCAAGTGTTTTTGTCATAAAAACAAACTTTCTTATTGAGAACGGGGATAGATTTCTTGCCACAGATTTGCAATTTGGTCTGCCAGCTTCACCTGCTTGCCTCTGTAGAAAAAGACCTATTTAATGCCATACTGTGGAACATTCCAGGCAAATAAATTATTTTCATTAAGTTGGTGGCAAGTCTTTGACCAGAAAACGAACATAATTCACCTTTAAAAAGTAGTACGAACTCACATTACCTATGAAATTTCCATCGATTTTAGTTTTGATGCCATATTGAAGGAAAAAAGTAAAATCTAAACCAACACAATGGCAAAACCAGAACTTTATGGTTAATGTCTAGCCTGATTCATCAGCCGGTTTCACTTCGTAGAAACTGTCTGACCTCACAGCATTAGGATTCGTTCACTCGACTGTAGGTGGGTAGTTTTTTTTATTTTTTATTTAACCAATCGCTGCTATTTGGTCGTGACGTATGTAAATTAATCTTTTAGCAAATCCCGTAGGAATAAGGACAATAACATCTTTCCCCTTGTTAAAATTCACCAAACATTCTCTTTGTTCCAGCTTTAAATCCTCGATCTCGGGAATTGTTGCCAACACAGAATGTATGGCTCTTCGCTGATTGGCTGGTGCCCGAACTCGCACGTCCGGGGTTTTTGCGAACCGTTTAGTGTATTCTGATTCCTGACCTAGTCGCTGGAATCGCTACCATATGTCAGGATTTCTAAACATGGATTAAACTAACTCTGAATTGTGGATAAATAAGACCTAATTGAAAACTGAATGACTAAACCAGGGTCAGAACAGCAGGTCTACAAGAGGACTGGGTGTAAATCAGCTGAACTTGTACTAAATATAAACCAAGTCCAATTTAGGTCTTAAACCAAAACTTTAAAAATGTGTTTTACATAAATACCAAGACTACAACATAGAGCTATAACAAATGTGACAAATGGCAAAGTGCACGGACTTATAGGTGATCTGCAATAAATCAAAGTTTATGGATCGTCAGAAAGGAAACTGTAAAAAACGTTGTAGCTCCCAAGAGAAAAATTGTGAAATTGTTGGGGAATAAGTCTGGCACCAAATCAGGACACACGTAGCGAGTGGGGGAAGGGGAAGAGGAGAGGAGAGGAGGAAAGGAGCTAGGAGCTAGGAGAAAAAGGCTGTCAGGGCGGAGAAGTGGGACAGAGGAGAGTAGAGGAATATCATGAATCCTGATAAGAGCCTGGAGTGACGGCTGAGGCAATACAGACAAAGTGAAGAAAATTAGATGTCAAAAAAAATACCAAATTGGAGCAGGGTGGGTACAATGATTATGGACAGTTTAAAGACACTGGGTTCACTTAGCTTAGGTTGTAAAGAGAATAGTAGGGCATAGAGTAGAGAAAAAACATAAAAACACGATCATTTTTAGACTGTGCAATGTCATAATAATGAAATACATGGTACACTTGCTCAGTATTGGAAAAAAATATGGTAATACTAAGAGAGTAACTGAGAATACTGTAAATGGGACCATGTACAGTTCAAGATACACCATGTACTTTTCTGGTGGAGGGTCCAAAACTTGCTTGTGTCAATGGAGATGTTATTGCTTTGCCCAAAATAAACTTACCTCCATCGAGACAAACAGGTAGCGCAACCAGGCAAAGTTACAAGTCAGATCTGTGGCGAGGTATGCCCACTCACAATAGCAATGCATGTTTTTCCAAGGCATTTTTCAGCAATAAAAACACGTGTAAGTGAATAAATGTGTACTGTGGAACATTTCAGCCAAAGCAATAACATATTCTTATTGTGGGCGGGGTCTCTTCTCCACAGATCTGACCTGTAGCTGTAATCTTACTGGCGACATCACCTGCTTGTCTGCATGTGCAAAGATAAATTTAAAGGGACAGTTTGGCATTTTGGACATAGGAGCTCATTTCCTAGTGAGCCAGAGTACTGTAGATGTGTGGAGCCCCTTTTAAAATATTCCATCCATTCCTTGTATTTGCAGAGGTCGCTGGTGCTAGACTAGTGCATGTCAATGGCCATAGTTATCCTGCCACTAAAAACAGTCTTACTCACTCCACAAACACCTGAAACAAATCTATTATTACACCAGACTGTCCATGTAAATGTCTGTCTTGATAAAATAATGTTTGAAATAAAACTAACCTTGCATCGCATGAATCGTGGCATGTTGAGGGACTATTTTCTCATATATCAGTCCGCCGCTGCCAAGCTTTCTATCAGGAAGTACAACTCACTGCTGCTGCTCAGACATAAATCCTTCAAATGCAAGGTTGGTTTTACTTCTAAAATTATTCTATCAACACAGACATTTACATGGACAGTCTGGCGTAATAATAGATTTACTTCGGGTGTTTTGTGGAGTGGGTAAGACTGTTTTTAGTGGCAGGATAACTATGGCCATTGACATGCACTAGCCTAGCATCAGCGACCTCTGCAAATACAAGGACTGAATGGAATATTTTTAAAAAGTGTCTCCACACGTCTCCAACACTCTGGCTCACTAGGTTATTGCAACTAAATAAAATTAAATAAAAGTTTGAGTCGTTACAATACTTCTATAACTGAATGTTTGTAGTGATATTCAGGGTTCCCGCTCTTTTTCACTGACAAAATTTCTAAACTTTTCCATAGCTTTTTCATGACCTAAAGTGAATTTTCCATGACTTTATGGCACTTACATGTATAGAATTGATCAAACTTTTAGGACTAAATATGAAATGTTAACTCTTTCCACTCACCTTATGGTTTGTTATTATAGTTTTTAAACAATCAAAATACTGTCAGTGCATTTATTGTCGTCTCTTTAAACAAAAGGTGCAGACGTTCAGAAATAATCATAATAGCCTCATGATAACATAACAAACGCTGTAGTTACGTGAAAAAGATACTCAAATTCCATGACTTTTCCAAAACATTAATTACATTTACAAAATTCCATGACTTTTCGAGGCCTGGTAAATGCCATTTTCAATTTCCATGACTTCTACAGGATTTCCATGACCTTGGGAACCCTGAATATTAACATTATCATCTGTACAAATTCAATGTAAACTATTTTAACAACAATAACTTTACTTGACAATCTTTCTTTATATTTAGAAGTCTCAAGATGCTCAAACATTTTATGATGAAACAGTGCATCTTACCTCCTCCTGTAACCAGCTCTGAGAGTTTGAGTGTTTGAGCATTTGAGTGTTTTGTGTTTGAGACTAAGTGAATAATGTGTCTTGTTCAGCAGCAGCAGTGGGAGGCCTCTATAACAGTTACAACGTCTCAGCGGGAACCAGGAAGTGTCAAAACTAACTCACTCTTCTCTCTTTCAACACAAGACTCGGCTTTTGTTTCGTTTTATTACCTATTACACGTTTTGCACTTTGTGTCAGTCATTTTACTGAAAGGAAATTCAATTAGTTAAAAAATAAATAAATAAAATAAGAAACCGACGAAGAACAATACCCCTCGCCCCTAACTTTGTTAGTGGCGAGGGCCAAAAATCCTCATTTGACATATTTTGGCAAGTCATGGAGAGATTTTCTTTGAAACCCGGTGTAAAAATCTATAATGTTTTAATGAACTATACGATATTGTGTACTATTATTTTTCATTGATCCTTTATCCGCACTTGGGACTCGCAAATACTGGTAAGTAATATTCTAATATTCTCCATTAACAGGCCGACAAGAGTAGTGCTACCTCAAAAAAATACACTAACCACATATTCACTAATTATATCTTGTCCCACAAAATAATCTACGAATAAAAGTTTAGAGTAGCTGAAACAGTACACTGGACATGTTAATCTCAATAAACTACCCAAAGTAAAGTTTAAATCATGTTTGTTCAGGTCAAAGTTGTGAGCCAGAGTAAAGCTGCACTATGCAAATTTTCCGGTGGCGCATTTGTCACCTACTTGTTTCCATGGAGATGCTTTTGCTTTGCCTTGAAAAATTATTTCAGTGAGCCAGTGTTCTGTCAAAATGGGCTGCCCCATCAAAATGAGCTACCCACAGCCTAAATCAACAGCAATGTCTATCGATTCATGCTACCCGTCAAAATAAGCGACCTTATGTTTTTCCGTTTACCGTTGTATCGATCCAATAAAGCCAAACCCTGACCCAACATATTTTTTTGGATTAGAGACACGGGTTTGCGCTTGGTGATCAAACTTTAACCTTAGTTATGTACAATTTCAACTCATTTATATGAATATGTGTAGGTAGTTCAATTCGACAGTCATATTATGCTCAAATAGGGGTCTGACTAAAGGTAGCACATATCGACAGGCCAATTTAGCCATCGAATAATGCTCACATTGTAGAAAACACACATTTTTCATTCATTTAGATGAATTTGGACAGAGGTAGCTCATTTCCATGGGCCTATATCTTCTATCAAATAAGGCTCCTACTATATAAGAGAAAGAAATTACTGGAAATTATAACATTAAATAAATATCATAGGCTACAGTGTGAATTTCCTATTATAATATAGTGATATTTTATTTATACAGTGCCTTTCTAAACAAAGTTACAATGTTTTCTACACATGGAAACAAAAATAAAATGTAATGTAATGAAACTGATAACGGTAAAATCCAAAACTATTTATCATCTAACGTAGGTGTTCTGCCGCAAATCTAACACACAAATGTCATTGCTTTACTGGTCAAATATATATTCAATAAAACCAATGCAGTTTTAAAATGTTACTTGTTACTCAACTTTTGCCTCTGGAGCTCAAATCGACTGCATTTAAACTGTAACAGCGCCTATGGGTTGTGCACACGCGTAATAGTGCGAGGTAGCTCAAATCGACAAGACACCAGCTCCCCTCTCCATAGATCTGGGGTCTTATTTATAAATTGTGCAAAAACATTACGTGCGTGACTTTCCACATTAATGTTGTCATCTATAAAAAGCCGACTTGATGTGGAAATGTGTGGTTGTTTGAGGAACGTCTGTGAAAGTTTGTTCCCACATACACTAGTAGTAAAAAATTCTACGTATTATTTTTTTTTTTTATAAATGAGTCCAAGTTTCATAGATAAGTTTCATGCCATGCTGTGGAACATTCGTAAAGCAGGAACATTTCCATGGAGACAAGCAGGTGGCAGTCCCTCCATCAGCAGTGTTACAGTAAAGTAAATATACAGGACAAGGAAAGACGGAGCTAGTAAAAGAAAGAATAGCCAGTAATTCAATCACGTCACAGTAAACTCTATTACTCACTTGTTACAGCCAGGTAGGTGTTGGTTTGCACTTCTCCGGCCCCATTCCGAGCGAAACATTGGAACATTCCGGTGTCGTCAGGCAGGAGGCCGTTCACCTGGAGGCTGCCCCCCGCCAGCACCCTGTATCTGGGCGTCTTCACCGGGTCGATGGGTGCTGCGTCTTTGTACCACACCATGTCCGGCTGTGGGACCCCTGTGGAGAGGAAGGACGGGGAACAGTCAAGACATGGCCTGCACAACGTGAGGCAACTATGCTGGAATGTGCTTTAGCTGTGGAGGAATTAAAGGGAAGAATAAAGGAGATTTAGAAGTAATAAATAGGGATGCACTGATGATCCGATCAGCTTTCTGCAAATGTTTACATCTTTTGTTCCAGGATATCATTTCAGTTATCTGCAATTGTTTTTACTTGCATGAAAATAAGTTACATAAAATATTTAATGTTTTAAGAAAAGAAAGTCTCCTTTTGCTCTCTGCTCTGGTATCTGTGAATATTGAGCGAGGGGGTGCCCAAACTTTTTGCCAAAGTGTTAGCATGCTGAAGGCTGAGCCCAATTATGGTTTGCATTCTAAAGTTTGTCTGCAAAGAAATGTATGATTAAATTGTCCTCACTGACTGTGCTTTTTAGATGCTCTTGCCAGCAAAAACTAACAGTCTTTTCAGTCTTAAATTGAGTAAAATCTCAGCACCACTGATATAGTCTATAGCAGGGGTCACCAACACAGTGGCCCCCAAGTACTACATGAGTCGCCCACAGGCCGGTTCTAAAAATAGTGCAACTCATTATTCGGCTGCATTTAAAATTTAATTTTATTCTGTTGCTATTCTTTTTTAATCACCCTTTCAGTTATATAGATTTAAAAATGGCAATATTTTAAAAATCTGTTCATTATACTTGAAGTTTAGATAAGCAATTTAGACACACAAGCTTTTTATTTATTTTTTTTAGCGCTTACAGCACTTAAGTTTCTTTTTTGTAAAAGTGAACATGTGCGCAAAGCTGAATTAAAAAGGTTATAATGTCAAACGGGCTGATGTGCCTCTACATTGGTTATGGTTTATATGTTGTAAAGTTGCGTTTATATAGAAGATTTTAAGTAAGAATCTGTTGCAGTGTAGAACCTGTACAATAGTGTTTGGAAATGTTGGGTTTGATGTGTGCAGTGGATTGTGGGATTATACCTCAGAGCTCCTTACCACTGGAGTGTCCTCTACTAAAGGAGCTCATGGTTGTATTTTTCCTGGTTTATTAAATATATCATTTATGCACTTGCACATTTGTAAGATGATGTTAAAAAAATGGGATACTACATTTATAACCAGGATACTGATGTGCATATAAACACAGTCAAAGAAGATAATTGCTAACACTGTACTGTACTTGAGATGAATAAAGTTAAAGTGCTGAACACTGATCTCTGTTTCCCACCTCGCTGTCATTGTTAATAATTACTGTGAGAAATCATTAAAGTGATCAGTGTCTTCACATAGATGATTATCATTAATCATTATTAATAATCTATAACTAAAGGCAAACTGAGCAAATGTGTTATTTCAGAAGAGTGCATCAAACTTCATATGACTCAGTGCCCATGAAGTGGCTCTCAGTTTCAAAAAGACCCATGGACTATAGTATATCCTTTCAAAGTCTAAACAGAAGTATGAAACTGGAAAAAGCTGAAATGATGTTTCTCTGCTTATTTATACATTTAAAACAGCAGAATGTGTTTCGATCTATACTTTTCAGCTATTCTGTTCATATAATCAAAATGATATGTTTTATGATTAATAGTAGTAAAGTTTATTTCATTTATTTTTTGACAAAGGTAATCATTTACTGTGTCTGCGTGTAAATAGCTATAATTACAGACCACTATTTGAAGTTTCATCTGATTTGATGTCAGTACGTGTCAGGCAAATCAAGGAGAAGTGAAAGGGACAAGAAGAAAACTCATTCATGAACTGCTTTTCAAACATTGTTCAACTTTTCATTCACAATTCTTATAACTGTACCAATGAACCTTATGTGCCCTGTTCTCGGAATTAGCAACATTTCTGCCATCTTCACTATATATATATACACTAATGATGTACTTTCTGTAAAACAAAAGAGCATTGTTTGTGAAATGTAAAGACAGTTCAACCTTTATACAGCGCGCATATCAAAGTTAATTTGCTTCTTTGAGATTTTAATGAGGATTAAAAATAAAACATGTATAGTGCTATAATTCTTCAACCATATCATCTACCTTTCTTTTCAAACTTCTTAATTAATTAGCCACAATATTATGAATTATATTGGATTTCAAGTGTTATATTACAGTTTGTGGCGTTGGCAGAGTGGTTAGCCCTCAGTTAGAGCAGATTTGATTTTGACACCAGCTAAAGATCAAGTCTGGGTGGAGTTTGTAATACAGTCATCCCATAGTTAATTCATTGTCTATTTGAAGTAGGATTTAACATTATAAAATGATAGAAACATGCACATTGTACACCTTTAAGATGGTCTTGTACTTTAGGATGTAATGGAAATGTATAATTTATTTGGATCCATAAAGAAAATTGAAAAATGATCAGTAAAAATTTTAACAGTAGGGAAAAAATCAATAGTGCATGTATCAAAATACTACAGATTGTAACTTGACATTGCCTGCTTGACTCCATGGAGATAGATGGAGTTTAAAGCATGCTGTGTAACATCTAGGAAAAAGCAATAACATCTCCATGGAAACAAGCATGTGGCAGAACTTCCATCAGAAAAGCTACTTAGTATTTAGTGTATAAATACCTCTGGCCTGACAGGGAATATCCACCACCTTCTCCATCTCGGCGGTGATGTGTTTCTCAGGCTCCTTCACAAACTGCGGTGGTTCTGTGGGACAAAAACAAAACAGAAACACACTTTTAATCTCACGTTCACATTCATTTGTTGATTTAAAGAACACATATTGTACTTGAGCCTGCTGTATTAGTAGGGTTGGGTGGTAAGAAAGTATTACAGTATCCTGCGGTATCAAAAAGTAAGCAATGGTATTCAGTTTCATTACCATCATTTCAAAAATCTGCAGCACATACGGACTTAATATAATAATATAATTTATTGATACCTAAATTAGTTTGCTCAGCATAAATGAATGTGTAGTTATATTCAATTAAATTCTATCACGATTTAAAACTAATAGTAGTTTATAATGTTTTTTTAAAACATGTGTGGAGAGATGATGTTTTGATTAGTTCATTCCGTTGTCACGTGATGCTCATAAGGGAAAGGAAGTCCGGCCACAAGCGAGTTGGTTCCAGTTTAGCAGCATTTTGGCTTCACACATTTTGGCGCACATTTGTTTACATTTTACAGAAACAGAACTTAAAACCACATGGCTCATTTGCATAAACTGTAAAGCTCTGGACACGAAAGGACATGACTCAGTGGATTATATGTGTTCTTTCTGCGACAGAGAATGTGCTGCTGACAGTGAGTCTGTTCTGTGCGTGTATCGCATCATACGCATAGACCGCATAGCGGTTAGGGCTTATGTAAGTAAACATTTTAGTAATACACTAAGAAGGTATACCCTGGTAAAATCCTGAGAAGGTTTAACGGTATCAAAATTTGGATACCGCCCACCCCTACTATATAGTTATAATCTATGACACCCGTAGATCCTTATGTTCTTCATCATGTTAATATGCTCTTTTGAAATTGCAATATTCATCTAAAACACTAAATAAAATTAATAAAAGAGACAAGTCTGCTTATTTCCACATTAGAATATGGGGGTATAGTAAGTAAGTAAGTAAGTCTTTATTTATATAGCGCTTTTCACAGACATTTTTTGTCACAAAGATGCTTTACAGAGCAGTATTCAGCATTATCCATTCACTCTGTACCTGGTGATGGTAAGCTACTATTGTAGCCACAGCTGCCCTGGGGCAGACTGACAGAAGTGCGGCTACCATGCCAATTGGCGCCAACGGTCCCTCCGACCACCACCATCACTCACGCACACACCAATTTCATACTAGACAATGTGCGTGAAGTGTCTTGCCTAAGGACACAACAGCGTTTTTTTGCCACTGGCTCTTCCCTGTGGCACCTGATGTTCCCAGTGGTCTCCCATCCAAGGACTAACCAGGCCCGGCCTTGCTTAGCTTCTGAGATCTGATGGGATCAATCTTTTACAAGCCGGTATGGCCACGTAGTAGTTACATAGTGGGTGTAATGTTTACTTATTGGGTGTTATAGGGTCGGTGGTCTACACTATTATGCATTTTTAATATACTCTGCAGTTGTGGTGATGCTTTAATGTAATTTAGTTGTGATTTTATATGAAAAGGACAATAAAGAATTTAATTGTATTGACTGAACTGGTTGATCGAGAATATGGCGTCTTGAAAATAAGCGATTAAAGATTATAAACATGCACGAATCACTCCAAAACAACGTCAAGAGGGTAAATGAGAAGAAGAAACAACTAAAAGCTCTGAAAAGTCGATTTTTGCATAATAGGTGAAGGAGTCTGGAGCTAGTAGTGCTATAAAAAACAACTATCTGACCTATAACTTGACCTTGTAGCGTCACCTGCTTGTCGCCATGGAAATCGATAAGTTTAATGCCATACTGCTGAACATTCCAGGCAAAGCAATAACATCTCCATGGAGACAAACAGGCGGCAGCGCTGCAGTTTTCCTCAGAGGTCAGATGTTCTGAGTTCTGACTTGTAAATTCAGGCGTCCTACTTGGAAACTCAGACAACATTTCAGAACCCCAACATGGCTGCTCCCTGCGTTTGCATAAATTTTGATATCCGACAGTTAAAATATTGATTGTACTTCTGTTATTTTCCCTTTAGTTGTTCCCTCCTGTCGCCTGCAGCCACTGAGCCTCTTCTGTTATAAATGCGCCATTATGGTCTGTTATGCTAATGGTTACACAGAGCTAATGACAACAAAATCACAAAATCTCTCTCCAACATTAATTTACAATTGTAATAACAATGTCTGGGTTAATGAATGAACTTAAACTAATTATCTTTTTGGCCAACTGAACACTTTCAATCTAGTTTTATTGCTAGTTTTATGTCACATTATATTGTACATTACACTGTAAAGTATTGCCCATTGTTTTTCCAAAGTGGCCACTGGAATACAGAAACTCTGAGAAAATGTTACTTTGAGGTTCCGGCCTTCAAGGATAAATGGAACACAGCATTACCCTTCACCAGAAAAGTTACACATGCCTCTTTAAAAGTCATTTATTACAAAAAATTGACTCTTGTGAGCTTTAAGTCATGTTATAATGTTGTTAGTTCATCAAAAACAAACCTGGAGTTGTGTTTTGTTTCATTCACACATTTGAGTCATCCTTTATTATTAGTCTGTCTACATCTCCAAAGCTCAAAATGCTTTCTTCCACCCTGTGATGTCATGAAGAGGTACTTAACCACTTACCTTTTATTCGGTAGAGATAAACAATTCCAGGGCTGAAATCATCCAACTGATTCTACATTGCAAAAAACAAAATCTAGCCAAGTTCAGATGACTCGAATTAAGAAAGTTTCATCATGTTTTGAGTAAATTTCATTTGACAAGTAAAATTATCTGCCAGTGGAACAAGACTTTTTGTACTTAAAATATGAAAATAACATCTTGCCAGACTTAAAATAATAAAAACAAAAACTTTTTGCACTTAAGAAACAAAATCTAATGTTGCTTGAATTAAGAAAAACACACTTATTCCACTGGTAGATCATTTTGTGTGTCAAGTTGAATCAACTCAAACTATAACAGTGACTCTTTATCTGCACTTGTAAATATTCATATAGTTTAATGCAAAATGTCTGAAAAATGCAAAAGCTCATTGTGTTAGATTAGAAGAGGGGGGTGGGATTAAATAAGTTTTCTTTTTTCCATTCCTTTTTGAGCCAATTTTTAAATTTTTATTTATTTTTTCGGTTGTTGTTATTTCTGCTATGATTTCATTAATGTTATATGTTCCATTGTAAAATAATGTAAATTTCTTACCGGCCCAAAATAAATACATAAAATCAAAATCAGAGTAAAATGTTCTCAATTTAAGTAATTTTTATTTAGCTAGATATAGTTTAGTTTTTTCCCAGTGTAGTAAATGTGTATGGACTCTAAAAACACAGTGGAGCACTTTCTGTATCACCACATGACATCACAATTTAGAACACAGTGTTTTCTGTTTGAGAGAAGAACTCAGCCTAAATATGCAGGATTTACGCATTAAATGTGTGAATGAAACAAACCACAACGCTAGGTACCGTATTTTCCGGGCTATTAGACGCGCTCTTAAGCCTCCAACTGCGCGCGCCACAATCCAGAGCGCCCTATACACAAATCCACTCGGGTGTCCCAGCACGACTTCAGTAAACTACAAAGCCGCAAACACACACGGAGCAGACAGCGACCGCACAGTGAAAAACACCCACAGACACACTCATCACACACCGACGAGGAACGGAACGGAGGAACGAACCGAAAAAGCGAGTGCAATGTGCCACTTCTAGACACAACTGAAACAACTGAGTCACTGCGAACACGCCGACAATCCAGCGGTCCCAGACAGCACCCTCCCTACAGTGATAGTCGTATTATTATTCTATTAGTATTAAAATAAGGTAAGAAATAGGGTCAGACAGGCTCATATTAGGTAGAAGGAGGGGGGAGGGGTTTTCAAGAGGGACGACAACCTTCAAGATGGACTGGACCACCCTGTTCAAGGTAAAACGCAGTTCTTACGCTGATTAACCCTGTTTCAAATTCACAATTGAACAAAGCCCAGAGTCACCGTGAATGCGCCAAACAAAGTCCTACTAACCCATCGAACTGCTGTGTTTCGTTTAATGCGCCTTATAGTCCGGTGCAGTTTATTTGTGAGAAAAGTTCGAAAATAGACCATTCAACAATCCAAAGCGCCCTATAGTGCAGAAAACACGGTATGTTTTTGATGAGAAAACAACATTATAACATATAATAGATCAGAAAATAGCACAATATGAGACCTTTAAATAGACATTTCTAAATGCAAAACCTGCTGAAGGCTATGATACAATTTGAAACACAGCCACTAACATTCTGCGCACACACAAATTCATTCCTACACGACTCCAATACAAGTCACACGGCATCTAGGTTACGGAAATCTTTAATTACTTTTACCCAATACTTTTGCAGTTTGAAATGAATCCTTTTAACTCATTGCGATTGAGCAGCTCCGGTGTGGTGCCCGTTCACTAAACTTGTGCTTTGAATCGCGTCACAACCTTGAAAACATCAAAGTCCCACAATGAAAGCGACTTGTGCTATGCTATTAAACAGTATCTTGAGGCCAGCCATTAGTCTCCTCTTTTTAAATCAATAGCTCTTTTCCCCTTGCTGCTTTCACAACTGCGCTGCTATGGCTGTGACAACTTTGAGACAAATTATATTTAGATGAATTTTGAATCGATGTCAGAGTGGATCTTACACATTCAAAAGCCACTGGGGGTGAGAAACAATGAACCTATTTTCTGTAAAGATACTTAAGTGAGCTGCTTTCTGTCTCTGGAGTGTCTCTGAGCTCTGGGGCTTTTTCAGGCAAAACAAACCCAAAATAGCTTACATAAGAGTTGTAATGGAGGATTTGGTGGATGGCGTTAAAAGGTGGTTTTACAGCGTTTTGCGTTTCGTACCTGTTTTACATTTCTCTGCATTTTAAAATGAATTCAACTGGAAAGAATACAATAGTTTCATATATGTTTATGTTTGAGCATTTTAAAACAATTAAAAACAAGTATTTGGAAAGTCTGAAATATAATGTCGTAGAGAATTGGAATTTCAGCTATCAAAATATTAATATAAGTTATGGCAATATTCAACAACAATTCAACATGAACCACAGTAAAAATCATTGCACTAATGTACATTGTCTTACATTCTACACATGGATATGGGATTAAACCCGTCGGGAGATGGACTAGTGGTCAGCCCATTGGTATTGCAGTGAAAAAAGATGTAATTTTTTGGGATTATAGACTTTTTCTTAGCTCAAAATTCTTCAGTTGTCTTAAAAACATTTTTTTTATGGTTAGCTTTTGCTCATTCTTCTCTGCTCTAGCTACACTCTCTCTGATTGGTCAGAGCTGTCACATGGTACGATTGTTACTGCACATGGTTGGTGGGCTGTTCGGCCACTAGATACGAGAAAACGCTGTGCAGTGAATGGTAGACAAAAAGTCAGTGGGGCCACTCGTTTGTGTTGACAGTTGCGTTGTGTATGTCTGTCATGAGATAACTCCTCTTATTTTGAAGTAGGTTTTGTATTTAATTGTTTTGACATGACTTCATCATCTTACTCTAAGTCACTGAATGTTGAGGATCAAAAACGTTACTTTGAAAAGTTAAAACTCGCCGATAACTGTTGACAATGTTGATGTTGACTTGTTGATACGAATGTTTTTTACCTACCAAAATGGCTGCCACCCCAGACGTTACGTCATTGTGTTTTCTCATATGTAGCTAGCTGCTAAAGGCTAAACTGGTGACACGAAGCCCAGGGATCTAAAAATGGCCGCCCATTCAAGTCAATGGGCCGAGCTCAATAGTGCATGACAAGCACACGCATGGAGCACAGGCTTGTGTATCACGTGATTGTTTTGACCAGAGTGAGAGGGGCTACAGCAAAGCAGAGCAGAGATTAAAAAGCTGTTTTTAAGACAACAAGGATTTTGAGCTGAGAAAAAGTTGATGATCTAGAAAATCCACAAAAAATCTGACAGTTTTGAAAGTTGTAGGTGCCCTGTCAGCCAAACTCGAGCAGTTTGTGATTACATTGTGCTCCATGAGAAAAATCCTTCTGGGCCGGGATTTTTTAAATTTTTTTTTGGTGTAGTACCAATGAGTGGCTCTCACAACTCACAACAGCTACAAGCAGCAACACCTTATCCAGTTATTTTAATAGATCCATGGGTGACACTTGCTCCTGAGCTCAGTCTATTAACTTAAAGGCGCTCTACCAAATGTTTACCTGATCTTAAAAGCATTAAAACAGAACTATGTCATTTTAAACAGTTGCAATGGTCCAAAGTTATTCCCAAATTATTTATTATTATTACCTTTTGCATTCCAAACATCTTAAGTTGTCACACTGATGAGTTTACAAGCCTTTCTTCACAATGTACAGCAATTAATGTGAAGTTTTGCTGCAACAGTAGAGCTAGCAACATTGCTAACAACACTTAGCATGCTAACACACACTCCTTATTATCATCAGGGAGTAAAACACTTTCTAATTACATGCAGACAGCACGTAATGGGCATATTTTGACCTCAAGAATATTTTATAATCTCTCTGTACTGAGGCAAGACAAATTTTGCTCAAATACAGTCAAATCTAAATCCACTAGAGGCCACGCTGAAACCCCGGGCTTGTTCTTACCCAGCACGTGTAGATAAGCTCCGGCGCTGACAGAGGGCACACTGCTGCTGCGGAGAATGGCCTCACACTCGTAGTACCCGGCGTCGGTCACCATGGGGCTCAGGATGGTCAGTCTGCGGCTAAAATCGCTCAGACCAGTGTTCACGATCACGCCATTTTTCCTCCACGTGATGCTCAGTTTAATCAGAGGCCTGTGTCAAAACAAACATGATCAAAAACGTCAGACAGTGAACTTTAAATTGTCCTCTCCGTAGTTTTCACAAAGTTTTATTTTTACCACGGACTTCTCTAACAGTCTCTTTCAGATCAATTAAAATACAATTAACATGCACTGATAGTGGCTCTTTGAATAGCTTTGATTCCCAATGACACATATCAATCAAACTAAAGACTAATTCGATGTTATTTCGCCAGCGTACTGTAATTGTCATTTACTGTCATAACGGACAGCTGGTGAGAGCCGCACAAATGTCCTATCAATAAAATCTGACATTGTCAGCTTGTGGTGGATACGGACAGAATGGCAAAGAGAGTTTTGTATCATGTTTGACAGTGATGTACAAAAGCATAGTTAAAGTTGTGGATGGTTAGATTTGAGCTACAATAGGCCGGGAGCCAGGTTCACCCCTCAGGATGTTTTTTGCTACCCTTTTTTCACTATTATTTCCTTATATCTTGGGCCATCAGGTTGATAGGGACCAACCCTAACTCAGCCCTGTTTGGTCTTAGGGCCCTACAAGCAAGACTAAGTATTAAGTATAAAGGTTCAGTGTGTAACTTTTCTGTTGTGTGACTGGAATGTTCCAAGACTTTAAGAAAAATTGAATAGCGATTTTTCTGGCAGATATTACGATTTCAATTTCAACCACGATTTTTTTCGAATCAAATTTTTGAAAACATTACAGAAACTTAAGTCATACCAGAGTCCTGCACCGACAATCTGACGCTGGACCATTTGCCACATTTGTTTGCATTTTACAGAAATGAAACTTAAAACCACATGGCTCATTTGCGTAAGCTGTAAGTGCTGAAAAAAACTGCTCATTTCTTGTGCTGCTGATGTGGTCAGCTTCTGTCAGACTAAACAACACAACTCAGTGGAATATGAGTGTTCTTTTTGTGACAGAGGATGTGCTGCTGATGGTGAGTCTGTTTTGTGCTTCTGTTGCGTTAAAGATGGTTCATGTTAAACACCAGGTTTATATCCTCACCTCACCAAGTGTTGTGACGATGAATTACTGTGCGGTGCAAAGACCTCGACGCAGTTCCATAAATCAAAAATGAAGGCGACGGCGGCAGTGTGCATTGAGCCGACGCAGAACTAAATTTAAACTATACTTAAAATTAGGCTTTAGGAGCACTTCAAAAAAATGTGGCTTTGACGATCCCAAAATTGTGTTGGATGAAATCGTGATTTTCAGTCCAAAATGATAGATCGCCCTATTCCACAAGTTGTCATTAAACTTTTGTATTGTTATGTACATCAACAGGTGTTTTTATTGTTCAAAAATACCTTGGAAAACATGCTTGCCAAGTCTCCAAGGACATAGATAAATTTAATCCCATACTGTGGAACATTCCGAGCAAAGCAATATCATCATCTCCATGGAAACAAGCAGGTGACAACTCCTAAACCAGAATAGTTATAATAGTGAAAGTTTAAAGGTGCACTGTATAACTTTCTGGATAATTTTCTTCATGTTTTGTCTAGAATATTTCATAGTGTGGCATTAAGCTTTATCTCTATCTTCAAGGAGACAAAACCAGACCAATTTACAGGTCAAATCTGTGGAGAGGCGACCCCGCTCAGTCAGATTACATGTTTTTCTAGATATTTTTGAGTTATAAAATGACCTGTAATTGAATAAATGTAAGGTAGAGCTGTATAATGTCATACTGTGGAACATTCCAGGCAGAGCAATGACATGCTGACCCCTGACCGAAAAGTTACACAGTGCACCTTTAAGATAACAATAGCAGACGTACAACAGTGCTTATATTGGTTCACAACCTTTAATTTTCTTCATTATGGGAAACTACTGTTCTCAAATTCTCCCAGCACGTGTCTACAGACTCTTCTATGAGAGAGTTGGCTGCCTGCCCAGGATTAGATCAAATTTCTTAGTGCATTTCATTTCTAAATGCAAGGGCACTAACCACTTTGCCAATGGGAAAACTAAGATCAATTTTTACTTTTCAAAACATATTAAAATTATTCTAATTCCGATTCACAGATGGATTTTGATTAAGGAAAAGCACAATCCTCAGACGACTACAGCTTACCAGAAAGTTTGTGGTACAATTCTTGCTTTTTCCAGTTTTTGTCCTTAGGAAATACACTACACCTACTTCTATTTTACAAATGGGGATCATTGAAATTTAATTTTTATTTTGTGGTGTCAAATATTTGCGAGAAGGTGTGTGAAAGATAACAGAATAGAGCAGTGGTCTCCAACCTTTTTCCTCTTGTGAGCTACTTTTACAAAACGAAAATGCCAAAGAGCTACTAGTTTTAGCAGTCACAACAAATTGAGTAAATATAAAAGCCATGGCAAGCCTTAGATAAGGCACAGTTAGATGTTTATAAAACTTAAACCATTATCCATTTATTAGTGTACAAAGTTAGGCATTAAAATTATACATTTACAATAAATTTTACTTATTCAGCACAATACGTATAATTCAGAAATCCTTTGGCGAGCTACCTTGCTTTCTGCACTAGAGGACGCTCTGTATTATAAGGCACACTGTCATTGAATCGTATATTTTCGAACTTTTTTCACATATAATCCCCACCGGACTATAACGCGCATTAAACAAAACACAACAGTTAGATAAGTCAGTCAAGCTTTATTTAACGTGTTCACAATAACTCTCGACGTTGTTCAATTGTAATGCCTAAAAAAAAATACTGTCTGAGAGCGCTAAATTGTTAGTGTATTCACAATAACTCATAACTGTTCAAACTGTTGGGCAATTACGGCGTCCAGCACGCCCGCATCCCTCTCGTCATTATCCAAGTTAGTGTGGTTACTGTTCCCTGGCAGTTCAGTGATGATTCTGGTCTTGGTGAAAGCTCGGACCACAGTTGATACTGATCCTTAGCCCAGGCGTCCACGATCCATTGGCTGTCTCTCTGTCTTGGTGAATGTGTGTTCGCCAATTTAACTTTGTAACAGCCTTGAGTTTAAAGTGGGCGTTGTAAGCGTGTCTCTTGACAGGTGCATTTTGATATTAAAAATAATCACAGTATGTATTACTCCGCGATGCTTTTGACTACTGGAGCCGTAACGCTGCAAGTGGTGCGGCTTTGTAGTTTACTAAAGTCGTACTAAGACATCAGAATAAATTCTTATATAAAGTGCTCTGGATTATAAGGCGCGCAGTCGTTTTTGGATGAAATTAAAGGCTTTTAAGTGTGCTCTATAGTGCAGAAAATACGGTACTTGGAAAAGGGTGGAGAGCTACAGGTTGGAGACCCCTGCTATAGAGGGACAGACAAGTTCATTCTCCAACAGGCTCCTACAGCTCCGCTCGAACAGTGAAAGATACAGAACTATGGTCTTTACAACTGTACAACTCATCCTTATGTAATAGATAACCCTGTGTCAATCACTATTTAATCTTTGCACTGCTTCTCTTTACGACCTCTTGTATACAGCTCAGATATATTTATTATATTTCTGTATTTTTATTTATCTTGTACATATACAATAATAATGCCTTTTTTCACACCATCTCTTGCTACTTATTTTGAACGTATGACACCGTTTATATTGTTTATCTATGTCATTATAATATACTGTGATGTGTGAGCTACTGTGTCCAAATTATTTCCCTTGTGCATAAATAAAGTCTGTTTAAAGGTGCACTGTACAACTTTTCTGGCAGAGGATCCACCGCCTGCATGTCTCCTTCTCCTTGGAGATATTACAGTTTTGCCTCCACAGTATGGAAATAAACTTCAATCACAATGGAAACAGGTCAATGGTCAGATCTATGGGGAAAGCAAGCCTGCACATGGTACGAATTCAAGTTTTTGAGGTATTTTTGAGCTATAAAACACATGTAATTGAACAAAAGCAAGGGGGATATGTTTAGTGCCATACTGTGGAACATTCCAAGTAAAGAAATAACATCTTCATGGAGACAGGAAGAAGTTACACAGTGCATCTTTAAGTGTAAGTCTAATATACTGTAGATTTTTAGCAGTTTCCACCTGTTTTGGCATTTTGTTTTGTTTTTTTTTATTTTGTGGAGGTATATATTGAGGTTCAGGTCTGGGAAACATTTTATTCAGTACAGTTTTGAACATTTTCCACCTGTCTTACCTTGCATTGGCCACACACTCCATGGTAACCTCTGAAGTCCCTGTCACCACGCTGGTATTCCTTGGCGGGATCACTATAGTTGGGGCGATGGGGTCAGCTGGGCCTCCCACATCTACAAACACAAAATAACAAAGTGTGAAATAAAACCAAAACCCACAACTACATGTACTTGCAATGTAAAACGTCAAGCAGTTCTGTTGATATCTTTGGCCCCCGGTTTGGACAGCGATGCCCCAGACACTTAATTTCCAGTGGGAGAACTCTACGTGTGTTCATTGACGTGAAATATTGAAAGTGACCAGGGCACACACGGACTATCTGGGTCTTGACAGGGTAAGGCAAAACAGATAAGACAGTGCACTCGCTGTGTATAATAAGATGCCTGTTACTGAAAAACAAAATTGAGGCTACAGAGAATGAAGGAGATCAACTTCTGACTGACCGAATCGAAGATCTATATGAAATCTCTCACCTTGAAAGGCCTTATATTACACAAAATTGACTTTTGTGAGCTTTAAGCCATGTTATAATTAGGGGTGTGCAAAAATATCAATATATCGTATCGTTTAATGTGATGATACAGTATCAATATGGGGGGCTGATGTATCGATATGTCACCAAGAGTATTTTTTGGTAGATTTTACTAAATTATTTTGTTACAGCACTACAGTTTTGTTGCTTGTTTAGTGGAAGGAAACTTGTTTATGCTACATATTTGACATTTTCACAGTTTTGATGATTAAAATGTTTGTGTTTCATATGAACTTTGTACAAGAAGTGGTTTAACAAAAACTTTTAGTATCACAGTCATGATTTAGCCTTTATTTTTTATTGAATCATATAGAATTTATTTGAAATATATCGCATCGACCCAAAAGTGCACTGTATCAAGATATGTATCATTTCGTGGCCTGTGTATCGAGGTAAAGATACCCAGTTGGAGTTATAATGTTGTTACCTCATCTGAAACATACCTGGAGTTGTGTTTTGTTTCATACACACTGTTTGTGAAACCTTTTACTTTTTGTTTAGCAGAGATTGGAAACTCCAGGTCTGAAATCATCCAAATTATTCTAGTAAAGGTGTATGGAGTTTATAGCCTGATTGATCAGCCAGTTTCACTTCGTGGAAACTGTCTGACCTCGCAGCATTAGGATTCCTTCGCTCGACGGTAGACAGGTACTTTTTTATTTAACCAATCGCTGCTATTTGGTCGTGATGCATGTAATGCACCAAATCCCATAGGAAGAAGGACAATAACATCTTTCCCCTTGATAAAATTCACCAAACATTCTCTTTGTTTCAGCTTTAAATCCTCGATCTCAAGAATCGTTGCCAACACAGAATGTCTTTCCTCATCTACATCCATCTTGACCTCTTTGTTTACTGTTGTGCTGTACCACAAAAGGGACCCAGACAGGTGCTTCAGTTGACGTCATGGCTTCACAGCTCTTCACTGATTGGCCGGTGCATGGTCTACAACTTTTGGGGTTCTTGCAAACTTCTAGTGTATTCCAATTCCTGACCTTGTTGCTGGAGAGAAATGAAACTGAGCAGAGGCACTAGGTGGCTATGGAGTTTAAGCGTTTCAACAAAAATGGTGAGTGTGATCAACTGAAAAACGGGCTAATGCTGTCTAACTTTTAACTGTAATTTTATGTGTGAACTAAGTCAGTTCTTTGTGGTCAGATTGTGTTAAAATAAAGCACAGATTAAAGTCTAATAAAGCCCTAGACAGGGCATGCCTACAGACAGCATCACACCCACAGGGAATGGTGATGGCATCAGCTGCAAAGTATCAGTAGTATCCAAAGTAGTTTTCATAGCCAGTGTCATTACTAATACAAGACCATAGGGATAAAAGTTGACTACACTTTTTTTGTTTTTTGTTTTCTCACTGGGAGCTAACAGTCAGACAGGCCTGTAGCAGCATTAGGGCGCAGGCTTGTGGGGATGTGTCATATTGGTGATAAACTCGCACTGATACGTGGATCCAGTCTGGCCCCAGAGTGTGCCCATGGCTGCACATGTCAGACTGCGCTATGGGGCCTGTCACAGCTCAATCTACACCCATCCCACAGCCCCTCAGTCACTACACAGAAGCCTGGGGCGATGGAAACATGTATGTAAACAGGGTAAACTAGCACAGCATATGGGTGTCATTATAATAGTGTTAGCAGTGTGGAGAATATAAGTGCATATGACAGGCTAGGCTACTCATTTCAAGTTAACATAATTGTATACGATTTTACTAATAATTTTCCCTATTTTGTTTCTTTTCCATATTATGTTTATGTTTATTTTTATTTCCAGGTTGGGCAAGAGCCAGAACTTGTCTAAATTGCTATGATTAGACAAATAATAATGCATACATTTTTACTTCATCAATTAAATTCAAGTTTAAACTGGCTGGAAAAAGTCACATTACTTTTTCTAGTTATGTGCACCATTTTTAGGACCATTCAAATACCAAAAGTGTTACAGTAGCTCAGTCGGTAGAGCGTTTGTCCACTGATTTAGAGGTTGGCGGTGTCTTGACATAAATATCATTGGTTGGGCGATCAGATCCACTGAACTCCCACAGATAAATGCTGTTGTTGTTGTGTGCTTGGGCAAAACACTTGAACTCACCTCACCCCCAGTGTCTGTGTACACTGGTGTCTGAAAAAGTGAGCGGTTCTTTGATGTGAAGCGCTTTGAGTGCCTTGAAGGTGGAAAAGCGCTGTATATAGAGGCCTATATATATATATATATATATATATATATATATATATTTTTTTTTTTTTTTTTTAAATGTGTGTGTAGAGTATTTTGTTTTGAACTCGCTGCTGTAGCACGAGTTGTAGATTTTTTTTTTTATTACTTTAAAAATTGGGATATTCAAAGAACTCCAAAGAATTCCCTTTGATAGTCTTAAGAGCTAACCACTCTGATAACATTCACCACTGTCACACTATATACTGTATCTTATATTATAACAACATTCATAGCAAGGTTGCGGCGCAATAACTATGATGAAATTTTGGTATAATTCTTTGTATAATGTATCTGGTAATAGCAATACTATAGAGTTCTGCAGGCCTATATCATTGTTTCCCAAAGACTGGGTCACAACCCTCAGGTGGGTTGCAAGAGATTTTGTTTGGGTCGCCTTGCCATGATCTGCATGTAGGTCTGGAATGCAATGTGATCTTCTGCTGCACCCGTACTGCAACGCACTACAAAAACACAGACAGGCCCACCTATCTCATTAGAAATGTTGAAATGTTAAGGCATGTTTTGTATAATTTCTAATCTTTTTGTAATGATTTTATAGACTATTTTGTTCCATTATTGCTGGTTCAATTGAATGTTGAAAAGAAAAAGAAATGGGCCACATTTAATGTCCAAATAGGCAACTTATGGATCCTTTTATGGACTGTTTTTCATTGTTTAAAACTTGAGTAATACTAATTGTTCAGAGACACGATCACTCAGATACAATACAACAATAAAATATCCTCATTAATGTTCAGTAATGGTCAAATCCACCTTTATTTTGTGATTTATGAATAATGTCTACTGATTTGGGTCGCAAAGGTTTGTGACTTTTAAAATATGGATCCCCAGAAAAAAAAACTGGGAAACATTGGTCTATATTATAAAACCATTGGCACTATTGATATCCCACAAGGACACTTGCTAACACTAGTCACAAGGACTCTGCTTTGACAATAGATGAATGCATTTATAATAGTTATCTGTATGATTCAGATAAAGGATATGCTCTAGCTATTGCAAGGTCCTTCTGATTTTGAGTGGCTTTAATAATTAAGTCTCCACTGGGGAAATCATTTATAAAAACACAATCTTTTTCCCACATCTTCTAGCGCTTGAGTGAACTCTGTGCGAGGAGGAGGAGAGCGTAGCGTGAGATGTTGACTTCCTTGTCCTTCACTCTTGTTGAGAAGCGGGCGCCAGGTATGCTCAGGGGAAACGCAGCATTCGAGGCATCTCCACGTGAACAGCTGCTAGAGCAGATACTGACAGATACACACATATTAAAGCCAGGCGTGCTCTGGCAACACTCATCCGTCATCTCTGTCTCCCCACACCCAACATGTGAAGATGTTTGAGATGAAACAGTGGATCTAAGGACATCTCCTATAAGATGGCTTTTATATATATCCTTTGGTGTTGGTTTATTTTATCTACAGCTACTATTTATGGCTGCAATGACAATAATAGACAAGCTAGACAGTGGCATTATTAAATCGAAATTGCAAAAAAAAAAAAAATCCATTCATTGTGTAACTTTTCTGGTGGAGGCTCCATCAAATTAGCCTGATTCATCAGTCGGTTTCACTTTGTGGAAACAGTCTGACCTCACAGCATTTCGATTCGTTTGCTTGACGATAGGCAGGTACTTTTTTATTTAACCAATCGCTGCTATTTGGTCGTGATGTATGTAATGCACCACTAACGGGGTTAACTGGTATATTAAGCTTTTCCCAAATCCCATAGGAAGAAGGACAATAACGTCTTTCCCCTTGATAAAATAACATTCTCTTTGTTCCGGCTTTAAATCCTCGATCTTAAGAATCAAAATGTACGGCTCTTTGCTGATTGGCTGGTGCCCGAAATCACACTTCTGGGGTTTTTGCAAACTGTCTAGTGTATTCTGATTCCTGACCTCGTCGCTGGAGAGAAATTAAATTGAGTGGAGGCACTAGGTGGCACCAGCCTGTCTACCATATGTCAGGAGAGCACTTAACATCGAGTAAAGCAGTAACTTACATTTCTAAACATGGATTAAAGGTTGTATGGAGGATTTTTTGTTTTGTTTTTTTTGTTTCAAGTTGTCAATGATAGCTTATAGAGATGCAGTAGCCTTGTAATTATGATGACCAAAAAAAAGAGAATAAAAATTCATCAACTCTGGACGTGGTGGGGCCAGCTAAACATTTGCCAATAGATAACGAACTGCCTCGTTATCTGTTGCTGACAGGCTGTCAATCAAACTCCCTACGTTTCTAGCGTAACTGACCTGCCTGCGCGCCGGTTTACGTACGCCTGTCACGCTCCACAGACGCAAGACGCACAGACGCTGTTTACTCCACCAACGCAACAGTT